CATTTTTAAGTGGGTGATTAAATAAATTGAATTAAGAGCTTCTCACACAAGTTAACCAGAGGGGTCAGTAAGTGCGGAGGCGAGGTATTAATTCTTATTTTGTTTCTTTAATTGTTTCATAAGCTTGATGACTTGATGCCTCCTGTTTTCTGATCTCCCCTCATCTGGGTGAGAACCAGGAGCTGTTTGGAGAAAATCGGCTCCTCATATAATCCCTGCGGTGGTCTGGTTTCTGTTCCTCCCGTTTCATGCCTGAGATTTCTTCTTCTTTTGTTCCTGAATGTGGTGTTTGTGTTGGAGTCTGAGCTCCAGAGGTCAGAGGTAATTTCTGCTTTGAATCTTAAAGCAACAGCAGACCTCGTGGACTATCCAAACCAGAAGATTCAACAACTAGACCAGCTCAGGAGTCTCTGCCGCTGCTGACGCTGTAACAGAAAATTATGATGAGAGTTCTGCTAAAAAACATCACACGCTTTGATTTAACGTCACGTCTGGAAAAGAATGCCTGAGAACATGGAGTCCCGTGTCGACCTGACGCTGGACCACCGTGCGGCTGCAGGCTTTGAGACGGCTACAGGAAGCAAAGCATTATGGGTTAAACAGGCTCTGAATTTACAGCTGAAGGATACGTTTTTACCTCGGGATGAAACCTTTGACCTCACCCAAACAGGAAATGATCCGTCACATCAGACTTCATGCAATGAGTTATGGTCCGACTGGGAGGCTCGGAGGATCAGCTGCTTCAAGGTAAACCAACGAGAGAAACAAGGCTGAGAAGACGAACAGGGAGAGAAGGAAAAACTGAGAAACCAAGAAAGCCAAGTTATAAATGAAACAGAACCTAAAGCAGGAAATAAAGAAGGATAAGGAAATTTACTGAGTATGTGAAACAAATCTGTTACATAGCAAATAAATGTGAATAAAAGCCACAGTTTTAAAAGAAAAACTTTGATTTTAAAGCACAAATTCACAGCAAATGTCATTCCACTTTACAAAACGTACAGTTCCAGTTCATTTCCAGTTATGCAGGTCCAAATTCTTTCATCATTCAGTTTAAAATAATTCAAGCCATTCCAATACAGTCCAATCATTTAGACTGATTCAGATCCAATTACAGTTCCACTGAATCTGATGTTTAACACTAAATCTGCATATTTTTAAAAGGTAAGCGTAGCTTATCCTATGACCAACAGGCAGAAACCTTGCAGAACCAGAACCAGGCTTGACACCAAGGAGGTTAGCAGTTGAGATGGTTTAAAGCAGACACAGGAAAAAAACACAGAAGTCTTGGACCAGGAGTACTTTCTATGAAATGAAAAGCAAGAAGAGAACATTGTTAATGGCAACTGCCAAATAGCAGAGGAACAGCGGTCAGTGGGTCCCCAGCAGCCTCTAGCAACATCGGAGGGTTTATATGTATACTGAATATTTCACATTTCTTAGTACGACAAAAAAATGGGGTTGATACTTGGAATCATTTATTTGAAATCCGTTCTTGGACTTCGTCAACACAGATTGTCAGAGCATCAAACTTCTGAGCAACTTTCTCAGATCTCCTCCTCTGTTTTATTTTTCATGTAAAAATTTTGTGTCTGTTCTGCTTTTGAAAAGTTGAACCTGCAAAGTTTTTGTGCCGGAGGTTTTTCTGCAGCCTCATTACGTGATTTCAGAGTAAAAGACACTTTGATTCGTTAAATAGTCGTTGAAGCCGTGTCTCTGCATGTCGCGGTGTGGACAGCCGTTTCTCATTTCACGTATTAAAGATGTGAAGGATCAGACAACCTTGGTCTGATGGGGTAAAAGCATCCAATGAGAACAGCGGAAGAGTTGAACTGTCCAATCAGAAGGCAGGGGGTGGGGCTATAGAAGCCAGCTGTTTACATCTGGTTCTGATCCCGGCGTCTTCATCACGGTGGTTTATTAGTGTTTTTCAGATGCCACTGATTGTCTCCTGGAGCTTTATAAGCCAACTAATACCCCCTGCAGCGCCCCCTGCAGGCTGCAGGGTTATGACCTGTTGCTAGTTAGCACAGAGTGTTCCTAAAGTTTATAATTATCTAATAAATACTGAATTATTTGCATTAGCGCTGTTTCTTCTTCTTTTACTGCTGCCCTTTCTGGTGTTTCTGCTGCTTCCTGCCTGCCTGCCGCTCCTCTGGAGTGTTCTCTAGGTGACCCATTCTTCTCCAGTACACATGCACCATGTTTCTCTGTGGTCAGCAGGGATGAAGCTCTGTTCAGCTGCGTCTTCTGTCTCTGGTTCTATGTCATTTGAATTTATCGTGCAAACCCGAGTCGTGAACTTGTGATATCAGGTTTAACTGCAGAGGATTTTACTGTGAGATATGACAGAAGCTTTCAGTTAGCCTGTCATCATCTGAGAACCTGAACCCACAAACTGTTTTTACTCCAAGACTCGATTTCAGCCTGAAACTGAAGAAACCTTTGGCTCAAACAATGAAACCTTAGTATTTTCTTCCCAGGACTTTTTCTTTATTCTGCAACTTGCTTTGGAGAAGGTTTTATATTTATTTATTTACAGTCAAAACAGTATGAAAAAGTTATGTTTTAAAGTGGAAAGTACAACTTTTTCCAATTCTAGGGTTTTATGAATGAGGAGATAAAAAATTAACTTGTCTGTACCTGGTTTTAAAATTTAAATCCAACTAAATCCAAGTTTACAAAAAACACAGATTCTACTCGCCCAAACAAAAACACAGTACTATCCTTGCTTCTATAGTATTAAGGAGTGAAAATAGCAGCCTGTTGCTGCTGATCTTATGCATTAATTAACTGTTCAACAACTTTAGAGAAGCATCTTGTACTGCCTATCAGTCTGGGAAAAGTTATAACGTCCAAACTATTTGAAGTCCATCACTCTGCAAAAAGAAAAACACTTCAGACAGCTGCTAATCTTCCAGGAGTGAATCCCCTGGCAAATTCAGCCAAAGGTCGGGGCGAGCACCGCGCAGAGAAATTATAAACACCCACAAGCTGCCTGTCTGACTCTAGTGGGTTGAGCTAGGATGGTAAATGTTAAAGTTCAGGACAGGGGGATTAGAGAAAACTAAACAAGAAGGGTTCAAGGAGAAGGCCTCGTCTCTAAAAGGAAAATGTCAGCCGAACTTTTGCATGTTTGCAACGTTGCATCTGAATAAGCAGTGTCGGACAGACGAAACCAAAGTTAATATGTTTGGCCATAATGAACAGCATGTTTGGAGAAAACCAAACATGGCACAAGAGCACAAATACATCTTACTATCTCCAAAGTACGGTGGTGGAGGTGTGATGACTTGGGCTTCTTTTGCTGCCACAGGATCTGGGAAGCTTGCAGTCATGGAGTCGACCATGCACTCTCTTCTACAGTCAACTGTCAGGCCATCTATCCAGCAGGTGAAGCTGGGTCCAAACTGGGTCAACAACAGGACTATGATCTTAAAACACAGCAGCAAATCTACAACAGAATGGCTAAATTAAAGCTCAGACCTCAGCCCGATTGAAATGTCGTGGAACCTTTTAGAGAGCTGTGCAGAAACTAATGTCTGCAGTGAACTGAAGCAATGCTGGAAAGAAAAGTGAGCTAAAATTCTTCCACAGCGACCTGAGAGACTGAAGGTCAGACAGAAAATGATTGCTGAGAGTTATTGTTGCTCAAGGGGATTGATTCAATGGATGTACTTAGTTTTTCACATACTGACTTTCCATTTTGGCTGAATTTTCTTTTAATATGCTCTGTAGTCTCCTCATACAGAAAAGCTAAAAATGAAAGAATGTAGTTGATGCCTTTTTGATGTCAAATGTCAGATTTAAGAAATGAAATTGAAAAGAGGAACATCTTGTTATTGAGATATGAGGGATTAGTTAAATATTTCCACCAAAGAAATCTGCAGTTCTTTCAGGTACTGTGACATTTAAATTTCACCAAAAGGTGCTCTGCAGGTGAAATTCTGGCTTTCAAATAACAGGAAATGAAAAACGTTGATCGCACAGATCTCAGGATTTAGAGGAAAAAACCTTTTCCTTGCCTGTTTGTTTCAGGACCCCAGGGCTGTCCTCTGTTTTACCACACTGGGCAGTTATGGTCTGCTTGGGTCCTTTGGTGAGTTCATTAGGTCTGGTTTATATTCTGAATGAGTTATAAATAAATAAATAAACTGAATAAATAAACTTCTCCATGATAAGTGTGAATGGGAAAGTGCACAAATGTAATCAGTGCAGCTTTTCTGCTCTGTCAAACTGATTTAGGTTAAAACACAAGTTCCTGCAATTCAGGCTGCAACAAGTTCCAAACACTTATTTTAGCAAAGTTTCTCCCAACTTATAATGTCTCAGTTCCTTTCTCCGACTGCTGAAGCACAGCCTGGGATTAAAGATGCAAAGTGATGAAGAATTTCAGGGCGCAAACAATAAAGGCTCGCTGTCATCCCAGTTTTTTAAATTCCCCAGTCTTCTGTATCAGGGTCTGGTCAGAAGTGCCTGTCTGATGGTCCTTTCCTCCTCTTCCTCGGCCATGCATTTGAAATGTGTGTAGAACGTGGTTTTCTGTTGTCTCTGTGCAAAATGCCCGGTTGTATCTGGAAAATGTCTCCGATGTGGTCTTGAAATTAGCAAATGTTGCTCTAAAATCTACTGGATGTTGGAGCAGCATTTGTGGATTTTTTTGCCTCCTATATTTTTGTTTTTATAACAGAATCAGACTTTTAGACAATCCATTATTAATAATCTATCCATCCATCCCTGCTTATTCTTGCATGGTTGCGGGGTGGGCTGGTGCCTTCTCCAGCAGTCATTAGGCCAGAGGCAGGGTACACCTTGGATGGCAACACAGAGACACAGGACAGCCAACCATGTACACACACATACCAAGAGACAATTTAGAAATACCAATTAATCTGTCATGTTTTTGGACTTTGCGAGGAAGCTGGAGTACCCAGAGAGAACCCATGCATGCACATGGAGAACATGCAAACTCCATGCAGAAAGACCCAAGGCTGGGATTCAGACCCAAGGCTGGGATTCAAACCCAGGACCTTCTTGGTGCAAGGCAACAGTGCTACCAACTGCCCCACCATGCAGTCAGTAATTGTGTGAGTGGCATTAGTAAAAGTAGGGGACTGGAGCACTGTGGGGACTGTGATTATCATCTGCAGCTTAGATCTTTAGACAGAGCAGAGTCCACAGCTTATGATGCATATGAATGATGATGCATTTCCTGTGAGGCTGCAGCTGGATACATTATCAGGAAGTGAAACTGAAAAAGGGAAAATTTCTTCTAGATTAATTTATAACTCATATCATTTAGACTCCAGACATGCAGGATTTCAGAAACTAGCGTGAATAAATCTGCATGTCTTCTCTGAGTGTTTCTCTGCAGTTTGGGAAGTTAGTCTGTGGTACAGCAATGATCAGCTGGTCAGATGGTTCAGAGCTGCCCTATAGGCCCTCCCTCCTCCTCTTATCAGCAATCTTCATGCCCCGCCTACAACGCCCTAATAAGGAAGAAAATCCATTTCCTGTTGGATTAAGGAAGCGGTGGAGCGCGGGTTGTATCGGAGTGTTAAATCCTGACTGAGAGTCAGTTTATTAAACATTGACCTGACCAGAAACAGCCCATCAGAGCCCAAGATGCTTCTGTGAAGGAATCCAGACCAACAAAGTTGTGAGGTCAGAAGTTGGAGGTTGCAGATGCAATAACAGGCATGTGGAGATCAGAGCTGCTGCTGAGAGGTGGCGGACTCAGTGAGACAGAACAGTAGAAAAGTGAAGAAATTCAAATGGGATGTCATAATGTTGAGGAACACTAGTCTGATTTTAATGGCTCTCTAAGATCTTTGAGATTTCCAGGATTTATAATCTTTTTAACAATGTTTGATATACAGGTGCTGGTCATAAAATTAGAATATCAAGAAAAAAATGATTTATTTCAGCAATTCCATTCAAAAAGTGAAACTTGTATATTATATTCATTCATTACACACAGACTGATATCTTAAATGTTTATTTCTTTTAATTTTGATGATCATAACTGACAACTAATGAAAACCCCAAATTCAGTATCTCAGAAAATTAGAATATTGTGAAAAGGTTCAATATTGAAGACACCTGGTGCCACACTCTGATCAGCAAATTAACTCAAAACACCTGCAAAGGCCTAAAACGGTCTCTGTCTAGTTCTGTAGGCTACACAATCATGGGGAAGACTGATGACCTGACTTGACCATTGACACCTTGCACAAGGAGGTCAAGACACAAAAGGTCATTGCCAAAGCGGCTGGCTGTTAACAGAGCTCTGTGTCCAAGCACATTAATAGAGAGGCGAAGGGAAGGAAAATATGTGGTAGAAAAGTGTACAAGCAATAGGGAGAACCGCACCCTGGAGAGGATTGTGAAACAAAGAGTGGACTGCAGCTGGAGTCGGTTCTTCCAGAACCACCACGCACAGACGTATGCAAGATAGGGGTTTCAGCTGTCGCATTCCTTGTGACAAGCCACTCTTGAACAAGAGACAGCGTCTTGCCTGGGCTGAAGACAAAAAGGACTGGGCTGCTGCTGAGTGGTCCAAAGATGTGTTCTCTGACGAAAGTAAATTTTGCATTTCCTTTGGAAATCAAGGTCCCAGAGTCTGGAGGAAGAGAGGAGGGGCTCAGAATCCACGTTGCTTGAGGTTCAGTGTAAGGTTCCACAGTCAGTGATGGTTTGGGGTGCCATATCATCTGCTGGTGTTGGTCTACTGTGTTTTCTGAGGTCCAAGGTCAAAGCAGCCGTCTACCAGGAAGTTTTAGAGCACTTCATGCTTCCTGCTGCTGACCAACTTTATGATTTAATTTTCCAACAGAACTTGGCACCTGCACACAGTGCCAAAGCTACCAGTGCCTTTTTTAAGGACCATGGTATCCTTGTTTTTAATTGGCCAGCAAACTCGCCTGACCTTAACCCCATAGATTTTCTATGGGGTATTGTGAAGAGGAAGATGCAATACGCCAGACCCAACAATTCAGAAGAGCTGAAGGCCACTATCAGAGGAACCAGGGCTCGCAAAATCGTCAAGGTCATAAAAGGCTTCCAGACGGTATCAAAAGCTGAAGTGGTCTATATGAGGGTACTTGAAGTTAAGTGATGATGAACAGGACGTTCTGGTTTATTAAGAAACCCCAGCAACAACACAAGGCACATGCATGATGAGCATCTGAAGAGACGCCACTCAGCAGCTACTGATGAGCGGACCGAGAGACAAAAAGCCACTGTAATGTTTATCTTTAATAATTTTTAAGTAAAATTAGACACATCTGCTACTTTTACCTGGATGAGGTTTTAATCACATTTATTTGTGTAGACAACATTGGTATCTAAATTAAACGTATCTAAATTAAACTTATTTAAACGTATTTAAACCAGACAAACCCAGAAATACATGCAACTGATAAATATAGCATGATAGGTTAGATTGAGATGTTACAGTCTCAATGATTATTTTCAAGCAAAAGGTTGTAACAGATTTTTTTTTCTGAAATTAGAGCCTTTTTTGTTTTTCAATTCAATCTCACCATATTTAACCTTCTGAATACTCAGGCGTTTTTATACACATAATTAAAAAATATCATTTTATTTCGTCATGCTGGAAGTGGCACTTTATGCATATATTTTATACTTTACAGTGCCAGTTTTTGCTTCCGTTGTATTTTGTGGTTTGCATTAAATGCAAAGTTTACTGTAAACAATCTGAAATAAAATACAATTAGTAACATTAGACTCCTGAAAGGGAAAAGCTGAAAGAAAAATGAGTACAATCAGTCATTTAGATTATTAAAAAAAGATATCATAGGACATTATTCACTTTATTTTATATCATATATATTTTATATTTACATTTTACCTTTTAATAGTTGAAGAAGCAACAAACAGTTTATTGGGAGCTTATAACACTGTTATGGGCATGTCGTATTAAACTGAGTCTGGTGGAGATTGAGGTCATTACGCTTGCATACAGTCGGGTCAGTCTGTGGTCAGTAACCCGGTCACTCCTTTGTTGTTGCCTTTTTTTTATTTTATCCCTGCACTCTGGCTGACAGGCTTTGCAGCCCCTTGGTGAAAGGCAGCAGCTGACTGGCCGGTCTGAGGGGCCAAAAGACAACAACGGTGGCTCTCTGCCAACCAGAACCCACCACAACAGCCTTCCCTTCTGTCTCCGTGTCTCTTGGTAGGATTTGTGTTTTAATATTAATGAGCGGTCAGATTAACAGAACTCCCAGCAGACACTGGGGCCATGTAATCCAGGCAGTGTCAGGGTGCTGATAAGACGGGCAGGGGTCCGGGAGGTCCTCCCTATGAGGATCAGAGGAGGCGGCAACTTTTAACGTGTCATGAAAACGTGCATTTGGAATCGTTTGTTGTTGCTAATCTTTGTAATCTTCGTGTTTCGAAGTTATGAAGCTAATTGATTGTGCGAAAGGTGAGCTGTTCTACTTGGAAAAGTTTAGTTACCTTTTGTGTTCTGATTTTATATTTAGGATGTAAGATTGTGCTGAAACTGAAGATAAAATCATAATTTCACTGATGGCACAATAAAAAATCCTCTGTGCAAAAAAGCAGTTTTGTTAACTTTAAATTAAATTGTTTTCACGGCCCCAAAAGGGATAAAAATATATTCCAAGTTGTAATAATTCCAATTAAACCCAGCTCTGTTTAAACATTGAAATGTGTGTTAAACAATGTTTGTTAAAACGTGGGGATAAGTTATTGTGGCATCAGTTAAGAGGAAGAAATCTGGCATAATTGCCACAAATATCATAACAATATATACAACATATAACATATTTACATCACCTGTTGTCCGAATATCCAGCAGACCCTTTGCATGCACGACCTCTAGAAATTACTTTAAGTTTTAAACGTTATGTTGTATTTATCTGCTAAATGGTCACTTTAATCCCTCCTCTGCATGCAGACGTTATTATCCCACAATCACACCTAGACTTCTGCAGAGTGAAGCATCATATGATCTCCTGATGCCATCACATGATGAGATAATGCATAAATCCGTGGGTGGAGCGGTTCTGAGGCTGCTGGTCTTTAATGTAGCTTTGTTGGGTTGGACTCATTCGCCCTCTGCTCAATTTCCTGTCAAGCAACTGTCAAATCAAGGCCATTAATGCCACAAGATTGTTGCACTGAATGCAAGCGACTGTTCACTGTAGCTGCCTGCTTGTTCAGGAGGAGGGATTGCTGCAAAGTCAGTCTCTCTGCAAATTTGCTTAGATAACTTTATTAACAATTTGAACTACATCTTGAATAACGCTGCATTGCAACTGAATTTACATCTGCTTATGGTTGTATTAGAATGGTTTGACCCTGTATGTGATATGAATTACATCTGTTAGTTTTGTAAAGTGCTTTAAGATTAGATTTTGTGATTTGACCTGCATCAGTTTACTGAACTGTATTAAAATGATGTGTTAGTTGTCCGATGATGGAAGGTTTTTGATTGGTTGGTTCTCAGAGAGAAATATCACATACCTGGAGCGGGCTGTCAGTGGAGCTATTGCCATGACTTCATGTTCTTTCTCCATAGACGATACACTTGACTCTGTCTTTCTGTGTCTAACCCTCTCTCTGAGCCAAAGCATCGGAAGGAGCTGTGACTTCTTTAGTTAACTTTGGTAAACTTGGGTTGATTTCGTACTGTTTTCCATTCTGTAGACTTGAAAACTGGCTCAGAGTTTATCTGCTTAGCTGGTTTTCTCTCCTAGATGACACCACTGAAGGAGCTACTGCTACCATTAATTTTTCTTTTTCTTAAACACAGAAAGTACTCTTGAATCAGAGCTGCTGTGCATTTTGAGTGTCTTTGTCTTCTCAAACCCCCAGTCGATCACACTGAGCCAGGTTCTGGTTCTGCTGGAGGTTTTTAAATTCAAATCAGTCCAATCTAGGGCTGCGCAAAATAAGGAAAACGTTTAGATATGCGATAATATTGGTAAAGTCCTGGTGACAGCATGACGTGCAATAAATAAATAATTATAAAGTGTTACTTCCTTCCTGCTTTGGGTTAATAGCAATCATAGACTCCAGATAGAC